GTGGCACATGCCTGTAGTCCCAGCTACTCAGGAGGCTGAGGCAGGAGGATCGCTTGAGCCCAGGAGTTTGAGGTTGCTGTGAGCCAGGCTGACGCTGCGGTACTCACTCTAGCCCGGCAACACAGACTCTGTCTCAAAAAAAAAAAAAAAAAAAAAAAGAAGAAACTAGTGGCCGCACAGAGAGTGCATGTCGGGCCTCTGGTGGCAGAACCTGCCCTAGGCCGAGAGCGCCAGGAGGGCTGCCCGGAGGAGGCGGCAGGCGGCACACATGAGCCCTGGAGCAGCAGGGGACAGCTTAGGAAACAGACTAAGGACTAGGACCTGCAGCGGAGAGGAACGTGGAGATGCGCTCATGGCAAAAGTCGAGCCTCAACCAGGCGCCATTAAACGAAACTAAACCAGAGACAAGAGGCTCAAAGATGCTCGTAGCCTTTAGGCTAGTGAGCTGGCTCCCGGGGGAACGTCCCCAGCAAGTCGCCCCAGAAGCAAGGCTGTCCCGGCAGGGCTGGGCACAAAGCAGTTTCCTCTGTGCCTTGCGGCGAAAGCCTGGCTCAGGGTCATCTATGCAGGAGTTTGGTTAAATCACAAAAGCCTAGAGTCCCTTGTCCCACGGGACGTGGCATTAGCGTGGTTGATCGTGCAATCTGTGCAAGGGACCCTGGCGTGCACTTGGCTTCCCACGTGAAAGGGGGGTGCAAGGTCATCTGGGACACCCCACCCTTTGGAAATGACCATTTCGGAATTGCAAGGTGCCTGCGTCAGTGCAAATTAACAGTCAGTGAAAACGGGTCCCCCGTGCCCAGCCGCCAGCCCCCGCGCCGGGGCGCCCACACTCTCTGGTTTCTCCCGCTCCTTCCAGACGCAGGTGGGGCCCGTGTGCCCTCCTGTGACACGGGTGGCTCGCACCTGCTGCTCCACCACGGGTTTTCATTTCCACCCTCGGGCTCACGCATCTCTCCCCGCAGCTGCGCATCGGGGCTTGTTTGGACAGGTGCTTACTGATGGGTACGGGACTGGGGTGAACGGTGTCCCCCAAATCCACGTCCGCCCAAACCTCAGAGCGTGGCCTTATCTGGAAATAGGCTTTAGACAGACGGGTCTCAGGAAACTGAGGTCACACTGGGTGAGGTGGCCCTATCCGTGGCTGGCGTCCCTGGATACTTGATTTGTCCTCAGTTTTCTCCCAGGTCGGGGTTCCCGACAATGAACGTCCGCTGGCTTCCGGGCCTTGCTGTGGCCTCGGGGCCGGGGGCGGGAGAGGGCACCGCTAGTGAGCCTTGAACGACACCGACACTGGAGAGGGGGCGGGCCCAGGTGCGCCAGGACTCACCTGTACAGAGGGGCTGGGAAGTCCACTTCGAGGGTCCCAGAGGGGACGTAGGTCCCTGAGGGGACGTAGGGCCGGGCAGCCTCCCGCCTCAGGGTCTGCATGTCTGCCTCTGTGTTCCTGCGGGCTCCTGCCAGGAAGGTCTCTGGGGCCATTGTTGACAGTGACAAAGGCCACCCAGTGTCCCGGCAACCACCTGACCGCTCCCTCCCTCCTGCCAGCTGCAGGCAGGGCAAGTCTGGAGAGCTGCTCCGCGCAGCGAGGGTGGGGCACCTGGCCACGAGTCCCCAGTTCCCCCCCAGTTCCTTGCACCCCTTGCCTGGGGGTCAGCCCCCCAGCTCCCTCCCCGCATCCTCACGGCAGGGGAAGGGGACTCGATCTCCCCGAATCCCACCATCCCGGGGAGGCAGTGCCCCCTGCCAGGACCCCGGCACCCCGAGATCCCAATTCCTCTCCGCACCCCACACCCAACGTCCACCTCTGTTCACGGCAAACCCGGAGCCGGAGCGTGTCTGTGAGCACGCACAGCACGGCTCACACCGGCCACCGGTGCCCGTCGCGCCGCCCGCTGTCCACGGCAGGTGCGTGGGTCAGCACACTGGTCCCTCCTCACACTGAGCGTCGCTCAGCCATGAAAGGGGACGAGGCTCTGACACAGGCCGCAGCGTGGAGGGACCTTGAGGACGTCGTGCTCAGTGACAGACGCCAGACACAGAAGGACACACAGTGTGAGACTCCGTTTATAGGAAACGTCCAGAACAGGCAGATCCACAGAGACGGGACGTGGATTCGTGGTGGGAAGGGGCTGGGGATGGGGCTTCCTTTTGGGATGATGAGAATGTTCTGGAATTAATGGTAGCCGCACAACATCATGAAGGTACTAAGTGCTGCCAAACTGCTCCCTCTGAGATGGTACGTTGTATGTTATGCGTATTTTACCACGATAAAAAAATGTAAACAAAACAAACGCCAACGCCCCTCTGCCTTGGGTCCCGTCCTGCCCTGCCGGTCCCGTCCCCCACACGGCCAGGGCTCCCACCGGCCCCGCCCTCCCCACCTCACTCTGCCACCTCCACACGTGCTGCGCCACCTCGCCCAGGTGCACCTGCGTCCTCCGGCCCTCGCTCAAAGTCAGGCTGGTGCTGAGCCCTGATGCAACACCACCCTGCCCCAGGGCTCCTGTCCCCATGTCACCCGCCCACACACTTCCTGATGACCCTGTCTGTCCTGGGACTGCCCCAGCACACGAGCGCCCTGAGCGCAGGGCTTGCTCGTCCTCACCCGGAGGGGAGGCCCAGGTGCAGCTCCCCTCACCTCTCTCCTTGGTGCGGCCAAGACCGAGCCTCAAGACCGCGCGGGGTCCCTGGGCTGCCAGGCCCCCTCCTGACCACCCCTGCTGCTCGCCCCCCCCACTTCAAACCATCCCCTTCCGTCCTCCAGCCCCAGACCCTACAAGTCCCGCTGGGCTGATGCACCCAACCCTGGGCCTCCTCTTCCTGGCCTCCCTGCTGGGCTCTCGCGGGACCTGTCCCTGTCCCGCTGCACCCACCCTCCCTCCAGCCTTCTCTGCTCTCACCTCGCTTTCCCAACCGGAATCCCAGCCTCTGCCTCCAGCCCGACTTCTCCGGCCTTGGTGATGCCCCCTGGCCTTGGGCCCATCTGTCAGGTGGAGGTGGCAACAGTGCCACCCCCAAAGCCTGACGTCCCACCCTCCAGGCCCCTCTGCCCCTCACAGCTGTCATTCCCGCAGCCAGAGCCGTCTGGGCCGCGTGGGAACTGACGCCCGCACACTCCACAGGAGGCCGGCCTGCCCCCTTCCCCTTCTCACCAGCGACCTTCCCCTCACTTGCTGTGTCCCGGGTCCCTCAGTGTGGCCAGCCCTCAGGGGACACGCTCAAACCAGCACCACCCCCGTCCTCCCTGCCACGGTGACAACACATCTGGGGGGGCCTGTCCCCGACCCACAGAGCTGTGAATCTGGGGACTGTGCCTGCAGAGACAGCCATGAGGTCTCGGTGGCCTGTGAGGGCCAGTCCCCCACCGTGACAGCCAGGCCTGGGGCAGGACTGTGCGGCCTCCACCCAGCCGGGACCCACAGACGCCAGCCAGCCCTGCTGTGCATGAATCCACAACTTGTTTAATGACAGTGACACTGCGTTACATGGAAAACAAGGCTCTGTCTGTCCTGCAGGGCACCCGCCACCCGCCTCTGCAGCCACAGTCACCCGCCAAGACGACAAGCGTCTCGCCCTCTCCTGCGTCTGGACCTGTAGTGGTTCCGAGCCCAGGGGAGGGTCCCACACTCAGAGCCGACCAGGCCCCCTGCTCACGGTGGCTCCTGGGCTCCCGGCAATGCACCGCTGAGTGAAGGGACAAGGTTGGATTTGTTTCCTCACTAAAAAAAAAACAACTCAAACAGTAAGACTGGACCAATCAAACGCACACCTCTATGTACACGTGACCTGCCGCAGCAGGAGGGCCGGCGGGGCCACGCTCCTCCCAAAGCGCAGGTGGGTGTCAGTTGTCCTGCGGGTGCAGCGACCGGCCTCCCCTACCTGAGCAAGCTCTGGCCCGGTGGCCCGGGCCCAGGAGCGGTGCGCGGGCGGGGGGTGGTGGAAGGCCTGGCAGGCCCCGGCCCCTCCCTGTCTAGCCTCAAACAAAAACACGGAAGTCCAAAGAAAAGTCACAAATACGTATGTACACATGCACACGCCCGCCTGCTCCGCCCCACAGCCGGCCTCACCCCGGACAGGGGAGCATGAGCCAGTATCTGAGCGTCAGGGAAAGCCCAGAAAGCTTCTGGAAGGACCAAGGCCCCCCAAGCCTTCTGCCCTGGCCTCCCCACGGCGCCGGCGCAGACGGGCACAACAGCACAAGTCAGCTGAGGACGGTGAGGCTCCGCGGTCGTCCAGACGCAGCGGCCTTCAATGGGACCCCAGCCACCCGCAAGCACGCAGACCTCGAGTCTGGCTCGGGGAAGGACGCTGGACCCCACTGGGGACACGATGAGGTCACTCTCCAGCCAGCGCGGCGAGCGGGTCCCTTCCGCTTTCCTGGACGACGAGTCCGTCTGCAGAGCTTCTCCTCCGGCGTGAGGGCCGCGGCCCAGCAGGACGCTCGGACCCCAGCTGGGGCCGCTGCCCGCGGTGTCGCTCCACATGGCGCTTCCACTGCAACCCTGCCCGGGGCGCCGACCGCAGAGACAGCAGCAGAGACGCCTCCGACCCAGCTGGGGCCCTCGATGCACCGGCGCCTGTCGGCTCACTGGCCCCCGCAGCCATCTGGCTCTGGGCTGGCGGAGGGCCGCGTCTGTGAAGAGGCAGCCGGGGGTGCCAGGCCCCCGTGTCTGGCTGGCTGTCCCAGGCGCATGGGCAGAGGTGGCTTCCAGGAAGGGCGTGCAGCCCCGCCCGGGTGACAGGCGCAGCAGGTGCAGGCGAAGGTCCAGGGTGTCCATCCTGCTGCAGGTGTAAATGGTCCAACCGGGGCCACGTGGCCAGCCAGGGTGGTTCTTGGCCTTCAGGAGGGAGTCCGAGCCCCCAGCCGCGGGCCCACCCCAAACACCGGCGACGCGCTCACAATCAGGCGTTTAATGAGACTCCAGGGTTCTCCAGGCCCAGCTCCCGCCCAGGCCGCCCCTCTGGGTTGTGCGGGAGGCAGGGTCCATGCAAGCCGAGCACAGCTGGGGGTCTCCCGACCCCAGACGGCTGGCACCGCGTGTCCCGCCCGGCGGGTTTACCGGATCCTGGTGAAGAGGTTGAGGACAGACACGGACTCCTGCGGACACACGGAAGGGACAGGCTGAGCCACAGCCCCAGAGGGGAAGGGCTGCCTGGAGGGAAACCGAGGCTGCGGGCCTGGCCCCCAGGGTGGCTGGGAGGCGCCGTCCCAGCCTGGCCTGCTGCGCCCTGGGTGCCCCTGCCTGTGACCTGGGTGTGAGGTCAGGCGCGCGGAGGTGGGGGCCCCTGGGGGCAAGTGCGCCCGAGAGGATGGGGTGGGGGGCGCGTGTGGCACTGTGATACCGACCCACTTTACCTTTGTTGAACGCGTTTTGCTGAAGACGTTCCAGAACCTCAGGGTCTCGTCCCCAGCACCGGTGACTATGGCCTCCCCGTCAGGGGACATTGCCTGTGGACAGGAAAGGGCTGAGCCGCAGGCGGGGCCCCCCAGGCTGCGTGGTGGGCAGAGACCGAGATGGCAGCGCTTTCCCCAAGACACAAAGGGCCCCTGCATGGAGGGACGGTCAACTCTGTGCAAACGCAAAGGGTCGACACGCACAGACCACCCAGACACGCTGGCTCGGCTCACGGCGTTCTCTGGCAAGAACAAAACCTTGCAGGGTGAGTGGCATCGGGGCGACGGCCACCCCTTTGCCCTGTCCCAGCCACGTGCACGTGGTTTATTCTGTGAGACGACCACGCAGTTACCCGAGTGGCCAGATGTGGGTTATTTTTGGCTTTCTTCACATCTCTTTTGGTGAAAAATAAAAAACAAGTGAATGCAGGTTCTCAAGGAGCAAACTGGGACATTGGTAAAACACGTTCCCAATGACGGCAGAACCAGGCCGGGCGCGGTGGCTCACGCCTGTGATCCCCGCACTCTGGGAGGCCGAGGCAGGAGGATCGCTCGAGGTCAGGAGTTCGAGACCAGCCTGAGCAAGAGCGAGACCCTGTCTCTACCAAAAATAGAAAGAAATTAATTGGACAGCTAAAAATATATAGAAAAAATAAGCCGGGCATGGTGGCACATGCCTGTAGCCCCAGCTACTCGGGAGGCTGAGGCAGTAGGATCGCTTGAGCCCAGGAGTTTGAGGTTGCTGTGAGCTAGGATGACGCCACGGCACTCTAGCCCGGGCAACAAAGTGAGACTCTGTCTCAAAAGAAAAAAAAAAAACAAACCAACCAACATTTGAGACACAACCTGCCAAGCCTGCTGCCCGGCTCAGGAGCCCATGCTGGACCCAGCACAGTTCCTCCTGCAGGAGAGGGTGGGCCACGGGCATCTGTGCGCCGTCCGCCCCACGCGGACTCACCAGGTACAGGACGCGGTAGGAGTGCCCGGTCAGCTTGGCCACCTGGGTCAGGGACGGGTACTTCCAGACGAGGATCTGGTTCTGTGAATAGCCATGTGTGCTCACCTGGGCGGGCAGAGGGGGCAGGCGGTCGGGCCGGGCCGAGGCAAGGCTGCCCTCTGCCCTGCGCTCCCACCAAGCACACGTGAGAGCTCAGATGCTAGGCAGGGCCCGAGACGGGCAGGACAGGCGAGGCCGTGATGGGCCCAGGGCCTGGGTCCCCAACAACTTCCTGCCTTCCCAGCCGGCCTCCTCCACCCTGCCCCATGCTGAGCCATGCTAACGCTTCCCCGTGAACGGGGGAACAGATGTCCAGGCCCGACTGTGGCGCCTGCGCGATGCCCCGCTCACCAGCTCGTTGGCGTGCTTGGACCAGGCGAGGTTGCACACTTGGGAGCCCGTGTCGATGCACTGCAGGGGCTGCCCCGTGAGCGTGTTCCAGAAGCGGATGCAGCGGTCGGCCGTGCCGCCGCCGGACGCCAGCAGGCCGTGCTGGTGCGGGGACCAGGCGATGGCCTTCACGGCCGCCAGGTGCTCTGTGTACTGCTGCACGGGGCTGAGGCTCGAGTGGTTCCAGACCAGCAGCTGGAGGACAGGGGCCGTGAGGCCTGGGGACACCCCCAGCCCCCGTGGCCCCACAGGCCGCCCCCGACAGGGAGGATGCACCACCTTCGCCCCTGTGGCACAGGCACACCCGTCACCCTGTGCAGTCCTGCAGGAGTGGCCCAGAAGGAGGGACAAGCCCAAGGCCACAGGCTGACCTGCTGCAGAGCACCCCCCGCCCCCCGGTCACCAGCAGTGTGAGGGACAGTCCCCACGGCACAGGGCGCGGCACCCGGGGAAGGGGAAGCCCGGCTGTATGTGAGGTGGTGAGCGCGCCTGGGGTGCATACCTTGTTGTCGTTGCCCCCCGAGGCGAGGAGCTGGTGGTCCGTGGACCACTTGAGTCCACACACCTCCTGCCGGTGGCCCTGCAGCCGCCGCTCGGACTGCAGGGGCGGGGTGCGGATGTCCCTCTGCAGGATCATGCGGTCCCGGCTCCCAGACGACAGCTGGTCGGCGTTCCAGGCCAGCGCCCCTGGGGGCCGGGCAGAGGCAGGTGAGCCCTGGCCTCGGGAGCTGGGCCCACAGGGAGCCACCAGCCCACCAGGACAGGGCTCCTCACCCACGCGCGCCGTGTGGCCTTCCAACATGGACAGCTTCTTCCCCGCAGCCGCGTCCCAGATCTGCACAAAGCCCTTGTGTGTGCCCACCGCTACCAGGTTCCCCTAGGACGGAAGGAAGGCGCAGCAGAGAGCGGGCGTCAGGCCGCGGCGTGGGGACCCTGCAGCCAGCCAGGCCTTGGTCACCCTGGGATCTGCCCTCCCCAGCGCTTCAGGGCGGTTTCCCTAAAGGATGTTGAATACACGTCCCTGTGGGTGAAGCTTAAAACCCTCCTCGGAGCTTTCTGGGGTAACGGGCACCCGGTGTGTGGGTTTGTCCGAGTCCACCCAACACACTCAGGGCCTGTGCACTTGGCCGTGTGGACGTTTCACACAGAAGAAAGGAGAAAACTGAGCTCTGCTGACGCGGGCGCTGAGGGGCAGAGCGCGGACGGCTGCGATCCTCCTCGAAAGTGTCAGAAAATAGGATGGATGGCGAGGAGGGGACAGAGCCAGCGTTAAGCGCCGAGAGCAACTCTGGGCAGGGCGCGTGAGCCTGCACCGTAACGTTCTCCCTGCTGCTCGGACGTTCTCAGGATATCAATGACCCTGAGCCGAGCGTCCCCGATGGAAAGTGGAGCTCCAGCGGAGCTGAAACGCGGCCCAACAAGGAAATCACCGGGAATTGGGCTTTGCTTGCGCTGGCCCTCCCCCAAGGTCACCGTAACCCTCGCTACCAACAGCGAGGACGGTGGGGACATGTGCATGCATCTGTGCCCGGACGCCGGACGGCTCAGGCTCCGCTCTGGCTCCTCGGGGTGCCCCAGCACTGCCCGGCGGGGGCCAAGCCCTCTGGACTCACCCGCTCAGACCAGCCCACGGATGTCACCGAGTCCCCTTCCACAGAGAGGTCGCAGAGCCGGGTCACCTGGGGGCAGAGGTCAGTGTAGGCTTACGTGCTGCCTGCTGGTCCTTCAAGGCCCCGGACTGTCCAACCATCCGTTGTGATCGATCTGTCCATCCACTCGCTGTCCCAGGCCGAGGGGCAGCCAGGCCGGTCAGCACAGGGCTGGGCCTGGGGCCTCCTGCATGACCCGAGGGTGCTGGGAGGCACAGCAGGTGCAGACCACAGGCTGCTGAGGGGCAGGCGGACGGCGACCCTCCCTCTGCAAGGACTCCGCGTGCCTTCTTGTGAGACCACTTGTGTGGTTCGAGCCTGAGAACACCCACCCCGGGGACCAGCAGGCCCCTTGTGCCCGGTGACCAGTCCAGGAGACCAGCCGCTCGGCCATCACGGGCTCCGCAGGCCAGGACGCCCGCCTCCCGCCTCTAACCGATCGGGGCCGAGGCTGCAGCTCCGGTGGGGACTCCCTGCCGCCACCACAGACGCCGGCCCCCGCAGAGAGGTCCGTGGAGACGCTCTGCTCGCACCCACCGCCTGCCCTGGAGCCCCTGGGGGCGGAGTGGCAGGAAAGGCTAGCCGGGAGCTGCCCCAGCGCTGAAGCCCCACAGCGACGCCGGCACCCGCCACACAGGCCCCAGAGCACAGGCACGCACACATCCCGCGCTCGAGGCGCCCACCTGGCTGGTGCACGCGCTCCACAGGTACACGCAGGTGCCCAGCCCCACGCTGAGCACGTTGAGGGACGACCAGTCGACCAGGTTCAGGTAGAAGTCGTCCTGCAGCTCGGGTGCGTCCAGGACCTTGAAGGGGATCTTGGAGATCTTGCGGGTGGGTTTCCGTGGAGACCGGAGCAGCTTCTGACTGCAGACACGGACACGCGGCACGTCGGCCAATGCGTTAGTGTCGCTTTTTGGCAAATGCACAGAAAACATGTCCTCCCTGCTGCCCCCACCCCCGATCTGAGGTCGATGCTGCCGGCCACGGCGTGTCCTCAGGGACGGGGTCCTCTGGGCCCCCTCTGGGCCTGGCGCGCCTGTGCTACCAACCGTGGCTCCCTGGGCCTGGCCCCTCGGCTCCAAGGACCCATCTCCCCTGGGAGGCCCCACTGCAGCCCCACCCTGCCCGTCCCGGGACCCGCAGAGACCCGCTGCCCAGGCGCCCGGACTCACCTCTTGTTGCTGACGGGGGACAGGGAGTAGGGCGACACATCGTTGCCGTCGTCAGGGCTCGCGCGCTTGGTGCTGAGGGAGTACTGGGGCGGGACGTGCTGGCTGAGTGGGGGCCGCCGCCCCGGCCCGAGCCCCCCGTGCCCCAGTACAGGCAAGTGGGGAGCAGGGCGCTTGCCAGCCACCCTGCAGCCCATGTGCCTAGGCAGGCGCTGGAGCCGCGCATGGCGGTGCTCCGAGCAGGAAGGAGCAGACCCGGCCTCACTCTGAGGCGTCCTCCCTGCAGTGAGCACGAACACCAGCGCCTTCTGCCCTGCCCCACGTGGCCCCAGCCCTGCAACCTGGCCTCGAGGGACCCACGCCAGGCGTCTGACCCTGCCCTCGGGCCCCCCGACCACCTTGGGGACAGGCGGGAGGTGCTCTGTGGGGACATCCTGCTCCTGCAGAGAGGACCCCGGCGCCCCCTGGGCTGTGCGTCTGGCACCTGGCCTCCCCCAGGTAGGGCCCTGTCCCTGGTCCTCGGGCCCCCACACAGCACTGCTGCAGGGGGAAGAAACGTGAAAGGCTGGGCCTGGATTCTTCCTGCACCCCCACCTCGTGGCTCACTTCCCGGGTACCCCGGCTTGGCAAGGGAGGGCAGGACCCCACACCGGCCAGCCAGGGAGGGGCAGCTCAGGTGGGGCTGGGCCGTGGCTGGGGAGGCGCAGCTGCTGCCCGGGCTGCGGCTCACCGTGAAGAGGCCCTTCTTCTCGGGCGTGGACGGCTGCAGCCGGCGGTCCTCGGTCTGCGGGTCCTGCACCTTCTCGATGCCGGCTCCCAGCAGCTCGTTCTTGAGCAGGGCGGAGTAGGCCAGGCCGTCTGCGGGCACCGGGCACAGTGAGGCGGGGCGGGCGGGGCGGGCTGCAGGGGCCGGGCGGGCTCGGGTCCTCACCTTTGCCGTTGTCCGAGGTGGCGTCCTTGGCCTTCCGGTTTTGACTGGGTGACTTCTCGTTCTCCTGTGGGAGGAGGGGAAAAGGCGGGAGGGGACGCCGTGCCCCCCGTCCCCGGCCCTGGGGCGTCCCCGCTCCCTGCCCGTGGCGCCCTCACATTGATCCTGTGGAAGTTCACGCTCCAGTTGGCGCCGGCTCTCGAGGGGATGAAGCGGTCTCCGTGCTTGCTGGGCGACGACACCGGGGAGTTGGCGGGTGTCAGGGTTCTCCGCATCTCTGTGACCTGAGACGATGGTGGGAGGGGCTCGTTCTCGGCCCTCAGAGCCCCCAGTGCGGGGCGGGGATAGGAGGCTGCGAGGCGAGGACAGAGCCCAGCAGCAGGGCTGGTGAGGCCCTGACTGCCCCCGCAGAGCTGGGGGATGCCACTCAGCTTTGCGACGTCTAAAGCGTCACACGCAGAAGTGACGGCGGTGTGGGACACAGAACGTTTCTTCCCGGAGCCGCCGAGCTGCCGCCCCCACCCCTGCTTCCCTGACATGAGTACGTTCCCGCCCACCACCCTCCCGCCTGCACCAGCCCCGTGGCCCCTGCCAAGCCCTCCCACCCTGCGCATCCTCCCAGGCGTCCTCTCTCTCCAGGAGGGGTCTGCTGTGCGCCGGTGTCCCCAGAGGACACACTGGAGGGCTGAGCCCCACATCCTGGGAACGGAACCTCATCCGGACACGGGTTCCCCTAGTCACGTAATCACAACCACAGTCACCAGTGAGAGGGAAATACGAACACAGACGGGGAGGGGGTCAGGGGACGGAGGCAGAGACTGGGACCCCGCAGCCATGGCCAAGGGACGCCCGGTGCCCCCGGAGCCTGTAGAGGGAGCAAGGCCCTGCTGCGTCTTTGAAAAGAAAATTTTTTTTAACCTGATTTTCTTTTACAGAGACAGGTGTCTCTGCAAAAGACCCATGAGTCCATCCAGGGCCCGTTCAGCCCTGATCACAGTCCTCGGGACAGGCTGGCGCCCCTTACAGCCCTGCGGTGACCAAGGCGGGTGGGCACCGATGGGCTGTGGGGCTCCCTCAGCGGGGGGCGGAGGGGGGGTATGGGGACCCAGGCGCCACTGCGGGGCGGCGCTTGGGGCAGGTACTCACACAGGGCATCGTGTTCTCGTTCTGAATGACGATCTGGCGGAGCAGCCGCCGCTCGTAGTCCTGGTCCATGGCGAGGCAGGGCCCGGCCACGGTCAGCCTGCGGGGCGGTGGGAGGGGTCAGCGGCCGGGGCCGGCTGCGGGACAGGCAGCGGCACCCCCTGGAAGCCAGCGCAGCTCGCGCAGGCACCAACTGGGCCCTCCAGGCTCCGCCGGGGGGACTCCCTTGACCCCTCGCCCAGCGCTGGGCCAGGCTCCCACCCGCCCTGCCCTGGCCCCTCCTTGCTGCCCGCAGAACCTTCCAGCCCACACAGCCCCCGTCGCATCCTCCTGCCTGCAAAGGGGAAAGGGCTTTCTGCCCTGGAGTCCCAGCAGGGAGGTCGGGGGCAGGAAAGAGTTACGGTGGTCCCGGCCAGGACCCCTTCCGCAAGCGTGGCAGCCCTGACGTCCTGACGTGCCAGCCACAACCCGCGAGGCACACGTGCAAGTACGTGAGTGGGGGAGCGACTGCCCACGTGGGGCTGGGGGCCAGGCTGGACCAGGTCACCGCACAGGCACGTCGGCCTGCAGTGGACAGTCCACGCCCGCACCGGTGACAGTGGAGGAAACATCCGGGGCCCCTGGGCTCAGCCCAAGCCAGGAAGGCCTGAGGCGGCATGTGTGTCTAGGCCTGGACAGTAGTGAAAAGGAGACCGGCAAAGAACATTCTAGAGAGGGAAGAGCAGGTCTGCATGGCTCGGGGTAGGAAGGGCTTGCCCCGTTCCAGGACAGAGCCCCCCAGACGCAGGTAGGTGGCCGAGATACGGCGCTCTTGACGTCAGGGGTCTGCAAGCCCCGGCTGACAGCCAAACGCACACCGCCTGCCTCCCCAGTAACGGAGGGGCCGGCCTGTCGCCCAGGCTGGAGTGCAGTGGTGTCATCACAGCTCACTGCAGCCTCCACCTCCTGAGTGATCCTCCTACCTCGGCCTCCCGAGGAGCTGGGACTACAGGTGCCGCCACCACGCCCAGCCTGTAAGTAAAGTCCGATCGGCACACGGTGGCGCCCCGAGGGCAGAGCTGCCACAGAGACTGCCTGGCCCTTACAGAAAGGCCAGAGAGCCCTGTGTGACCCGGGGGGCCGCCTCACAGCCGGGGGAGCTCGGGTGAAGTGGGAGTTTTCAGCACAGCCTGGCACAGAGGGGCCTGGAGGACTCCGGTGCCTCTTTGTCCTGCTGCCTTGGGCGGCTCCTGTGGCCTTTCGCCCGCCACCAACACCTGGGCTCCTCTAGCAGGAGCCCAATGGCGTCCACGGCCCTTGGCACCCTAGTTCCGGGACCTGAGCCTCCACGTGGGCACCCGGGTTGGCAACTGACCAAAAAAATGTTTACAATTCCCACGTGTAGCACCGCAGTAAAATCAACGGGTACCCTTTTAAAAAAAACTGGTAAAATAAGTATCGCCAAGTTTACCATCTCATGCATTCCCCAGGGCACAGCTCAGCGGCATCGAGCACATTCAGTGTCGTGCAACCACCGCCACCCTGCACCTCCAGAACCTTCTCATCTTCCCCAGCTGAAGCTCTGTCCCCGTGAAACACACTACCCACCCCACCCCCTCCCCAGCCCCTGGCACCAACCTCTCTGGCATTAGTCCCTCCACCGACCCAACAATTCCACCCGTTAGCAGACACGCCCCCGGGGGAGTACGCGCCCACACACTTGTCCGTGAACGTTCCCAGCAGCTCGATTCACGACAGCCAAGAAGGGGCAACAGCCCAGGTGGCCATCGACAGGTGAGTGGACGAACACGCGTGGTCTGTCCACGCGCTGGAATATCCCTCAGCCACAAAAAGGGACGAGGCTCTCACACAGGCCACAGCGTGGGTGGACCCTGAGGATGTCGTGCTCAGTGAGAGACGCCAGACACTGAAGGACACAGTGTGAGACTCCATTTGCATCAAATGTCCAGAACAGGCAGAGCCACAGAGACGGGAGCAGAGGCCACACTTCCTTGTACAAACCAGACACCCAGGAAGACACCAGTTGGCACCACCAGGTAGGGAACAAATCTGGGTTCCCTGCTGTCCCTGTCATCTCAGGAACTACATCCTGACACTGAGGAGACTGGCCGATTCCTTTTTTCACATCCTCGAGTGGCCTCTCTGACGAGTGCCTGGTCCTGCAGCGGGAGGCGCTACGGACCATGTAGCTGGATCGTCCCATGAGCCTGCCGGGTCCTCCTGGGGCGCTGCTGCCCTGGCCTGCAGTCTTGGGGCACACACGGGGCCCCGGTACACCTGCAGGCCCTGAAGGTGGACGCTCAGCCTCGGCCACAGCGGGGCCTATCAGACGCCAAGGGACAGCAGTGTGCAGCCAGCAGTCCCATGTCACTGGGTTTTTGTGTATCTTGTACCCCTAGGCGTGGCCTCAGGACCCTGACACCAGCACGACACCCTAAGGCCAAGGGTGGGGCAGCGATGGCCCAGGATCCCGTGGGCACGGAAAAGGTCCCCTGCCCTGTGGCTCCTCTGCCCAGGCCTCACAGACACCAGGCCGCCTGCTCATCTGGGAATCGGGCTGTAGCCCCCAGTCCAGCTGAAGCCCCCCAAGTCCTCCACGCGGCTCAATCCAAGGCCCAGGTCCTGGTTCCAGGACGTGGCTGGAGGCTGCCTCCCTCCTCCTGAGCCCCCCGCCCACACACACTGCCCACGCCCCGCGCTGCCCAAAGGCCCAGCCACGCCCCACAGGTCCGCCATGGGCCCCCACCACCTGCGACCACTCCTGGGGCCACGCTGGCCATACCTGGGCTGAGAAGAGGCCTGTGGGTCTGTACCCAGTGGACACACCCATTTGGGGGATGGTTTCTTGAGGCCAAAGCCACGCCACCTCACGGCCACAGCGCCAGGCCAACCGCCAAACACAACCAAGCCCCAGGAGAGGGACTGGACAGAGGAGCAGTCACCACCACTCTGCTCTAGAAAGTTCCACCTGCCAGTGGGGCATTTTCCTAGGGTCCTGCCAGTCAACTGTGCCGTGCCCCAAGAGGCTGGGGGTGTCCCCCACAGGCCGAAGAACCAATGCTGAGAGGAGTTGGGGTCTACGCACGTCCACACGCACCCACGGAACGGAGAGGAAACCACAGGGCAGACGCCACCTTTGAAAGCAGAATTGTTTTACGGAAACCCACCCTGGGGGCTGCTGGGTGGTCTGCACTGGGCAGCACCCCTAGGTCAAGGCTGCGCGATAGTGGACATCAGCCGTGGTCATAGGTGAGGAAATAGCTGGAAACGTGTTTCACCGAAGGCAGGGCCCAGAGCGCAGCCCGGCCACCTTGAGCACCAGAGACCAAGCAGAGCCCCAAACACCGCGGTGGCTCCGGAGCAGGGGCACGGGGGCCAGTGCTCCCAGCGGGAGCTCCAGAGCTGCCACCAGGACTCAGAGAGCCGAGCCCTGAATTTGCTGAGCCCAGCCCACATGTGGCGGCAGGGAGGCAGCCCTCTGCCTGACGCCCGGCAGGTCCGCGCCGCCGTCACCCGGGCCTGCCCGCTACGGGCAGCTTATGACGCCGCACAGCTAGCGGGCAACACGCCATGCACAGACGTGGCTGCTGAGGGTCAGGGACAATCCAGATGTCCCAAGTGTGGGGGTGTGTCCCAAATGTCCTCACCCCCAGACCCTGTGCACAGGTCACCTAATGTGGACGCAGGGACTCTGTAGGTGGGATGGAGTTAAGGACCTCGAGATGGAAGGTCACCCTGTACCATCCATGTGGCCCAGTGTCAGCACAGGGTCCTCCCATAAGGGGGCAGGAGGGTCGGAGGCAGAGAGACTGGAAGACGCTGCGCTGCTGGCTGTGAAGGGGCAAAAGAGCCCCGAGCCAAGGGACGCAGGTGGCCGTCAGACACTGGGAAGGGCGGGAGACGGGTTCTCCCTGGAGCCCCCAGGAGGGGCCGGCCCTGCCACACCTTGATGTCAGCCTGTGAGGCCTGTGATGGCTTCTGGCCTACAGGGCTGGAGAGGACACCTCTCTGTTGACGTGCAAGCTCGCCAAAGCCAGAGGCCTCCTCTGCGCAGCCCCGTGCGGCTCCTGCGGGAGGCCCAGCCAGCCCTGCCTCTCCCCCTTCTCTGAGCCCCCAACTCCCCTGACTCCTGATGGCCCCATCTGTGGGGGGTGGGCAGCGGAGAATCGCTCATCCACTACACCTGTTATGCAGCGCCCCAGGCCTGGCAACGAGGGCCATGGTCCCCCCACAGGGCAGAGGTCAAGGAACCAGGTGAAGAGGACTCCGGACAGCAGCACGTGCTACCAGGAAGCGCATTTTCAAAAGTGGCCCCAACAACCAGCTGTTGTAGTGAGAGGGACACAGTGTTCAGATGGGGCCGAGGGCCCCGCGCAGGGGAACCTCCCCGAGACCCGGCGCCCCTCAGAGGAACCCCTGGGACGCAGGCACAGGCTCCAGGACCAAGTTCCTCCCAGCTCGGACCTTCCACATCCCGATGCGAGGTCGGGGTGAGCCCAGCCCCGTCTGCTGGCCTGGCGGGGGCCCCGCTCAGGCTCCTGCACCTTCAACAGCCTCTGGCCCCGTATTTGCTGGACCTGGATGAACTCAGCGCCCACGGGGCTCTGGGACCCTCCGAGCCTTGGCAGCCGCAGGGAGAGTCCTGCGTCCCGGGCCTGGGACCTCACGGGGCACCACACCCTGGCGCCTGCAGTGCTCAGCTCAGGGACTCCCCGGCCACCTACTCTGAGCCCCCACCTGCCTGTGCTACAGGAAGAATAAAAGACCCAAAAGCCGTGAGGTTTGAAATGGTGGCGAATTCAACAACGGAAAACCTGAGTGTCTGCAAGACACAACGCACCACCAACAGAGTTACAAAAAACAATCACAACACTGGGGAAAATATCTGCCACCCGCAAGAGAGCCCGCATCGGCAAGGACGCTCACCTTCCCTCGCAGCCCGGAGCTGCGAACCAAGCCAGGACACCGCGTTCCGACCTGTCAGGCGCAGAGTCTGTGGCCTGGGAAGGCGACGCGCCCTCGCTGGCCGAGGCGTGGGGAGAGGCGGCTGTGCGCACGCTGTTGGCAGGAGATGAAACCGCTACTGCTTGGGAGGAGGGC